CCCTCACAGCTGTGTCGTGCACCCCACAAAGATTCGAACCCTCCTAAATTTACGCATGCGCCGTGTGGATGTCATCGTAGTATGAAAACTGCCGTCCGTAGTATAGTAGTGAACTATGCTCCGGTACAAACGAGCGACAATATTTAGTTTAAAAAGTTTCATTAAAACTATTTTTAATAATTGTTAGGAACACGGAGATGAGTGTTAGTGTTACATAATATAACGGCGTTTGCTACTCAATATGCCCATACTAGTTGACTGCAGTCGAAGAAATGGTAAATATCGATCGTGTCTACATACGTGGCAGCCATTTCTGCTTGTTTTGTTCGTGTTACACTTTATTGATTTAAATTATACGCTAAAGGAACGGAACCTATTTCAATTTAAATGTTATTACGGACAAATATATGTTTGGAATAAGCATAGCAAAGTTAATGAAAGCAATTAAGCATACCAGTGATGATTAGTGGTTTGTTATTGAGGTGGCGTTTGTTATACGGGTCGTAGAGGTTATTTAAATAAAATATTTGGTTTTATTCTACAATAAGTTGGTGAAATATCGAAAAAAATTGATCGCTTTAGTTGAGTGCATGCGCACTGAGTGCACGCAGAGCGGGGTAGGGACGCGGCGGGCGGGGGACGGGAGCTACGGGAATGGAATGTATGACGCAGCTCGCCGGCCATGCTCGCCAACTGGTTGTTATGTGAAACTGTTTGAAAGCATACTTGTTCATCCCATAAACCGTACACGCACACAGGCTCGTCTTTCCAACAAGGCAAAACGTTGATTTACCAAAAAAAAATATATCAATTTTAAAATTTCGTAGGTTAAAACTGAAAATTATAGTTTGACGTTACTTTAAAATTCAATTTCTATAATATTAAGTTAAAATAGTCTTTAACTTTTAATACCATCATCAAAGTTTGGTTATCCAAAATGAGAATTCCAATATATTTCTATGCAGCTGTTTCCAATAAATTAAATATATTTGTGGTTCAAAAGGTTGATTTTCATGGTCGGAACAGTTGTATAGAAACTGAATTTTAATATTTTTATCTCTCTGGTATTCTTTAGATAAACAGAGACAACATGGCTCAATTCACATATGTGTTACAAGTCTAAGTCACGATTTTAAAATGTTCGCGTGTATGCAAAATATTAACAATTTACAGTGGTCTTATTTGGATATTTTTATTAACTTTGAACCATTAACAAATGGACTAAGTATATTGTTTATATGTTGTTATCTTCCAAGAATATGTTTGATAATGTTGCGACACTTCTCCGTATTTAGTCGACTTATTGATAAGTAAATCCACACATATAAGAGGACGGCCACTAACAGATCCATTAGTCTATGTGTTGGTTTATAAAATACGTTACAATTTTTGTTTTCAATTACCATTATATCTTGTCTGAGGTTTAAAAAGTTGTATCCTTGCTCTATTTATTATGTAAAATCAGTCATGCTATATGGTACACATGTGATAACTCTTCTTTGTGTTTTTCATAAGATATGTTCCACGTTAATAAGATTTATTCATATTGTATGATCACAATAAGCTGTCACACGTATCTGTATCATTAAGAGCCCTACTTTTTATAGTACTTGGAAAGTCTCTTTCAATAGTAATAACGAAGGCCTTCTCTTCTTTTCAGTGGCAGCCAACAATTCAACGTCAC